CATGACTAAGGATTTTGTTAGTGATATTTTAATATATAAGTAAAAAGAGGTTGTTGTGTATAGCTTGGGCTGTAAGGTTAGAATTTTAATGTTACAAGAAAAGTCTCCTTGTTAAAAGAAAAAAATGGAGCTTTTGCTCAAATAAACGGAGAACCTGCTCTTAAGCTGAAAATGTTTTTGCCCTTTTATCTTTTATCAGTTTAACATATTTTTATTCTAAACAAATGAAACTAAAAGAAAGTATTTTCTTTTTAACATGAATTTAGTACCGATTCATAGGGGTGTTCATTCGGTTAATTCGGTGGCCGAACCACCATTTTCGATTTAACCGAACTTTTTTTTTCTTTAACCGTTAACCGAACCGAATTTTTTTCGAAAATATTAACCGAACCGAATAAATTTCGGTTAATTTTCAAATTAACCGAAATTTTTTAGAATTTTAGAATTTAATATTTTTTTAATTAAAAAAAAACAATTTACAATTAATTTAAATAATATCTAATTAATTTGATTCAAACATTTTGCATTTATTTTGATATTATTTTAATTAATTAATATTGATTTGGGTTTTAAATGGATTGAGCCTCTTAATATAATTATATTTAAAGGTTAATTCGGTTAATTAACCGATTTCGAACCGAATTAACCGTTAACCGAATTCCAAAAAAATCCTTAACCGTTCCCCGACCGAATTAACCAAACTAATTCGATTCGGTAGGTTAATTCGATTAAAACCGAATTTTGAACACCCCTACCGATTCATGTGCCGAGTGGGAGTAATGATTGGTGTGGGAGATGGTACCATTCCAGCCAGGTCATTCAGGTTGAATAAATATTTTCTTGGTTAGGTCTAGTAAAGTTCAAATTATAGTTATAGGCCTAAAGTAAATAACTTATGATCAAAGAATGTTGATAAAATGTGGAGTCTTAGTATTCCAATGCATTGGAAAACAGAGACCGTTGTTAGGAGCTTACTTGAAGGATGACTGTACAACTTGCATGGGCAGTGCAGGAGGAATTAGAAACTTTATTAGATGGCTCTGGGCATTTGCGGGCACTTGCCTTCCTATATACTAGTAGAGGGATGAGCTCAAAGGCTCTTTCCATTTGGCGCATCTTGGCAAGAAATTATTCTTCTGGTCTCTGGAAAGATCCTGCTTCGGGAAATGGCATACATGATGGCAATGCATGTGTAACATCCGGTAGGGAGGCCGCTGCAATGGAGGCAGCAAATATTCTTGAGGATTCATCTGACCAGGATTTGGTTCTGCAGCATCTTGCATGGGTATCTACTTATTTCTTACAAAAGATTCTTTTTATATTATTTTCAAATTGAAGGTGTTGACTTGAACTTGTATTAATTGACCTTGAACACATTGATTGCAGCAGACTCCAGTACTTGCTGTACGAGTTTTGACATCAGGTAAAAGGGAGAGTCAGCTTTCTCAAGGTGGATCACATTTCTGAGTGAGTTTGTATAGGATTATGCATGGGCGATTTTAATTGTAAATTTTATTTCTGGATGTTGTACAATTTGTTAATTAGTATCTTGCTGCAGATGAAGTGATTGCGGCAATTGATCCAAAAAAGGTTGAGATTCTCCAATGGTATGTTTCTATTTTATTTTATGGATTATAATTATTTCTGCAGTTTTGGCTTCTAGGCTCTACACTCACCATTATAGACAACATTATACACAGGCTTATTCTTTGGCAACTCAGCTTGTATTGGAGTATTTGTAGCTTTATTATCCTTTACCTTTTTATCCTACACTCGCACTTGGAACATAATTAATTTGTTTGTCATAGTATTCACCTTGTTTCGTATGAGCCTTTAAGTTTTTCTTATACAAGTTCTCTTTCTTTTTAGCATTAGATGTCATCTTCACTGCATCGATTTTGGTTTAAGCTTCCTTGTCTGTGCAGCTATCTCCAGTGGTTAATTGAAGAACAAGACTCTGATGACACTCGGTTCCATACTCTCTATGCTGTTTCACTTGCCAAGTCAGCTATTGAAACCTTTAGTTCAGAAAGCAGCTCACAAGGCCCTTATTCTGGAAGGCAAGAGCATTTGAAAAATATTGATACTCAAAGAGATTCAATCTTTGAAAGTCCTGTGTGGGACCGGTTGCAGATATGTTTACAGACTTCAGATTTGTATGATCCAGGAGAGGTCCTTGATTTGATAGAGAACTCAGAGTTATGGTTAGAAAAGGTCTGTTAGAGCTTTGTATATTGTGCTGTTCAGTTGACTATTGAGATGAAATTTTAATGCTACACTCAACTACAAATCCTAGATTGGCTGTTTATTCTTTTATGAATTGTGTTTTAGATGCGTATATGAGTAGTTGTTGCATTTAACATTTGCTAATTTAATATTTTGGTTTGATTATTAGGCTATTCTATACAGAAAATTGGGACAAGAGTCATTGGTGCTCCAAATCTTAGCGCTGTATGATTCAAATGATTTCCGGATTATTAATTAGGATGCTTGGTGCATTAGGCAGTATGACATAAAATTTATTCATGAAGATAGCAGATGAAAAGAAAATGAATTGTGTTCCTATTATTAACATTTAGTGGCTTGTCAGGAAACTGGAGGATAGCGAAGATGCAGAACAGTATTGTGCTGAGATTGGCCGACCAGATGCTTATATGCAGTTTTTATTTTTGTTCTTCCTTTCTCCCCATAATTTTTCTTTTTCCTTTCTCTACTTGTGCTTGCGGTCTTTTTTATTTATTTAATCTGTTTGTGACATGATAATATCAGGCTACTGGATAAGTATTTGGATCCTCGAGATGGTAAAGAGCCTATGTTTAAGGCTGCTGTTCGTCTTCTCCACAATCGTGGAGAGTCACTAGATCCCCTGCAAGTATTATAGGTAAGCCCCTCGCTTCTCCTATATGTCAGGAACCTGGAACTTCAGCTTTGCTGGCATATGTGCAAACATGCTCTTATATTATTATGTGGCTAGTATAATAGATAGTAGTACAGTCCCTTATTTTTATTTGTGTAATCTGGGTGTTGATTTTGCAGACACTCTCTCTTGACATGCCTCTCGAGCTTGCATCGGATACAATATTGAGAATGTTGAGGGCTCGACTACATCATCACCGTCAAGGACAAGTAAGATAACTTTTGGATTTCTCCTGCTGCTTATAATTTAAGCTTAATCATGAGCTTTCTTTTTGCGAGATTGTGCATCATCTCCTGTGCCGTAGACATAGACGCAAGACTTGCGAGATTGGAAGAGAGGTCACGGCTTGTGCTGATTAATGACGAGAGCCTTTGTGATTCTTGTCATACCCGCCTTGGAACAAAGCTTTTTGCCATGTATCCAGATGATACAGTTGTCTGTTACAAGGTTGGTGATGACTCACCATTATATATAGTTTCTTCATCTTTCCAATAGTTTGGATCAGAAATAGGGATCTTTTTCAATATGAAGTTGTTAAAAACTACCATTTCCTTTTGTATCTACGTCTGCATTCAGTTACTGTATGTTTGAAAACTGCCATCTTCTTTCATCTGCAGTGTTTCCGTCGTCAAGGCGGGTCAACTTCCGTAACTGGTCGTGATTTTAAGCAAGACGTCTTATTCAAACCCGGTTGGCTGGTTACCCGGTAAGCCTCTGGAAGTTACTGCAGGTGACGAAGCCATGGTTTTCCCTTAATTTCTTGCTTCAATCTTCTGTATAAAACTTCATTGTTAGCATTTTGACAGAATTCCGTGCGTGTTAAAACCAGAATGGTGACACCTTTTTTGCATGACATCCCTTTTCTCTTTGGATCTCATCTCTTCTTTACCATTATACAACAAAATCATAACTTGGCGATAATATATGTATATATATATGAGCTATTATTTGATACATTGTCCACTGGAAAAAAAATTCAGTGGTGTTTCTTAAGATTATGAAAAATGTACTTTTAAATTTTAAAAATCTAAAAAAATAAATATGATATGTGACATCATCTAAACATTACTTGTAAAATTATTTTCACATTATTAAGTACAGTTTTTATTTTCTATTTTTACATATAATTATCAAAATGTTTTTTTTTTGTTATTGAAAAAAGGTGGATATTAAACTTAGGACTTGAAGAAAGAACAACACTCTTTCTATCAAATAGGTCACTCAATTGATTCAAATTATCGAATCAATTGAGTTAAATTTAGTATTTATACGTAGAATTAAATAAATTTATCAATTGAGTTAAATTTAATAATTATATGATGAATCAAATAAACTTATCAATTGAGTTAAATTTAATATTTATATGATGAATCAAATAGGTTTGATAAATGTTTTTTCGTAATATTTCATCACCCATATTAATGTTTTTGGTATGCTGTTTTGAGTTTATTAGTATTATATATTTAGAAATGTCATCCAGCTCAATTGGTAGAGCACAAGGCTATTAACCTTGGAATCGTGGGATTGAGTCCCACGGAGGGCATTTCATAATTCGGAGGTCTCCTACGGAAGCTACTCTCAACCTGATGTTGGGGGCAGCCTACTATCCTACCTCCCTCTTACCCCATTACATATGGGGGTCAGTTAAGTATTATATATATACCTTAATTATATAAAAATTATTTTTGAAAAATATAATTATAAAAATAAAAATATGATAAAAATGAAAAAATAATTTAAATATGGAAGTATACTATTGATTCATGCAATCTTGTATGTATTAATATAAGCCAATATTAACCAAAATCGTCAGAATATATCGAAATTTTAATTGAAGTAAAATTAAAATTATTTGGTACCATTTATGACATAAACGAGCAAATATGGTACGGACTACCATGCCTATAAGGATTGTACATTTACATAATTAATGATGGGTTAAGTTCAAACAGATCAATAATTGAAGGGTCATTCTTTATATTCCAAAGGAGAAGAGGATAATTATGTAAATTCATTATGCCGTTTCACTATAAATATAAACCTCGAATTTTTACTTCGTATTTTGCCATTTTTCCACACGCAGAAAAACACAATATAAAGAAAAGGAAGAAGAAGAACGAAGAAGCGAGCTGTAAGGAGAGCAGCCAATAACCTGCTTCGGCCTCAGCCTCCGTCAGGTCAGTTTCTTTCTCTAATTATTTGCATTTAATTCTCTTCTTTTTTCTTCTCATTATCTTATTAGAGAAACTAGAAAAAAGTAGATAGATTTTGAATTTATTGGGAGTGAAAAGGGTTTCGGATATAATTTTCGACGATTTTAAGCTCCGAGCATTCGATATCCAAATTTAGGAATTCTAAAATCGATATCCTTGAATTTGGTTCTCTTTCTATTCTTCGTGACCTAGGTTTGGGGAGACTGCTTTTCTTTTCTTTCTCTCTTTCCTTTTGTAAGCTTTACTGCGAATGTTAAATGATAAATGTCATGTTTTTAGTAAAATTATAGACCAGTTATAGGTTTTCCCTTTATTTTGCGATTAAAAATCCAATCTTTTACGTGGTTTGGTCGATTTTCTCTCTTTCGTATATCCTATGATTTTTTTTGTCCGTGTGTGACATTTTTAATCTATTTTATAGGAATTCAACATGCTACTTTTTATGCAACTTCTCTTTCCAAAATACGCGCTTATGATTTTCTTCTGAACCGATGGATATACATGTAGGCATAAGATAAGATAATCGTTATTTAAATGTTAAAATATTTTCACTTTCTCTATAGTTCTATGTACTGATAACCAGATGTTTCATGTGTTCTTTATTGTTGGTAGAACTTAATATTAGGTTTCTTGTGTACTTCATTGTACTATCAAACTGTTGCAAATCCTCATCTGGTTGAGAATGCTGGGATGCCATTAGAAATAAGATGGAATCATCTAAAAATCTTTCTCAGTATGTTTCGATATCAAAATTTGGCCTTAACCTTATCTACAACTATTATAGGAGATTTAGTTTACAAGACAGTGCACCAAGACATGAATCTAGGATCTGTTCCCTAACAACTCCCATCCCCTGTTGCAGGGACTCTTACTATTAGGGACTCTCTTTCGATATTTTCAAAGACGTCAAGAAGAGGTGGAGAATGTAATTAGGCAATGCTGAACGTCCTAGGCTTTTTATTTTCTTGGTCCCAGAAGCTGTCATTTTTCTTATTTTGTTATGATGTTCTCGCTACCTTGTTGACAAGTTGTCTCATCTGATTGACTGTTAAACTGGAATGAAACAATTGTTGGATTTTTTCCTTTAGGCAAATCATACATAGGGTCTAGGGCATTTGCAGTTCTTCACGTACTCATTGTTTTTCTGTCACTGATCAGAGCAATACTAACTGGTGGTTATGAAGAAATAAAGTGTTGGTCCTATAAGAAGTTGTCTTTTTTCTGCCGGATTAGTGTACGTCAGAGATATATATAAATGGCAGGAATGTTAACTGGAGATTCCTCACACCACTCAACATCTGATAGTGGGCCTTCCAGAAATTCTCCAGAAAAGCAAGAGGAAGTAGGACGTTGGTATTTTTCAAGAAAAGAAATAGAAGAAAATTCCCCATCTAGAAGGGATGGTATAGACTTAAAGAAAGAGACATACTTACGCAAGTCATACTGTACATTTTTGCAAGATTTGGGCATGAGGCTGAAAGTGTAAGTTCATGGTTTATTTTCAGATGCAGTACTTTTCTTTTTGGATGCAGCAAATACCTGATTTGTGCTATTAAACTTGAATATTTAGTTTCATTAGTAGCTGTTTTTTAGTGAAGTGTCATTTAAAATGGAAATGGAAGTTAATATAATTTTGTGTTTGTTCTGTTGTGTGGATGCATGTGGGCATGTGGGCCTGTTCCACTTGTGATCAATCTCTGTATTCATTTTCTGTAAAGTATGCTTAAGTTTTATTATAGGTATAAAGTTGTTAATTTTTTTATTTATTATGGTTAAATCACAATGTTAAAATGTTGAGATTTCATGTATTGCAGATCTCTAACTGTTTTACTGCTAGTATCTGCATGGAATATACAATTTGAAATCACCTAATCATAATTTTGTAACAGAAAGATTGATCTAAATATTAGCATTATGATTTTGAAATGTCAAAGTATCTTCATTTCCTCGTCAATAGTGGTCATAGCTGCTATCACCAATCCTTTTAGGCAGCATTTCCTGGTTTTGTTAATGCCCTTTTTGTGAGCTGATCCTTGATCTCTGTTGTCAGCTATAGTGCAAATATCTTAATAGATAGTTATTTTGAAGTATACTGGTGCAGGAGATTATCTTTGTTTGCACATTGGCACTCTTGCATGTCTGTGTGTTTTCCAGTCTGTCATTCTGTTGGTTTTTGCCTTCTTTTTATACTCATACTCTATCACTAGCAGAAGATACTGCATATTTATGTGTCAGCACATTGTATGTGAATATTTATTCTTTGCATATTTTCGCATTATATTATTGTAAAAATGATTTACATCAACAAACAGTGGGTGTCAGTTGGTCATTGCTTTTCTTATGTGACTTCCCGGTGTATCAACAGTTGCTCTAACCCTGAAAGCATGTGATGTAATTATGATTGTTTCTTTTACTTTCTACAATCTTGTGGGTGAAAGGAGTTGTTTTGGCATACTGTTGTCTGATCACAATTCTGCACTTCTGACATTATGTGTATTCATCATATATTTTTTTCTCAGATGGATTGAATTTGGCTAAATTTCTTATCTGATACAGGCCTCAGGTAACAATAGCCACAGCAATTATCTTCTGTCATCGGTTCTTCATTCAACAATCACATGCGAAGCATGATAGAAGGGTGAGTTATCATTTTCGTTGTCTAGTGAATCTTGTCAAAACTCCATTGTGCACCGTTTGGGAACTCTGTGTAAATGATAATAATGAAATGTATATACATTAGGGATAAATAATTAAGATTCAAATCAATATATAGATGAAAAGCATAGAAACTTGGATTTATCAAATCCAAAAATAAACTAGGGATTTCAAAATCACTACTGTATAGGCATTTAACAAACCCAAGGATTTAGAATTAAAATCATCAATGTTACATTTCTAAGTATTTTTTACTCCATTTGTACTATCTTTGATAAGCGAATTCAAATTCTGAAATCTAAGCTGGCTTTATCTTTTGTGTCTATTTCATTGTGAACTTTTATTCAGTTAGGATTCATTTTGGATGATATAATGATAGTTGGGTATACTGGAAGGCTTCAGGAGTGAAAACTGTGAAAAGTGTTATAATGGGCGCTTGTAAACATAGTTTCTTTGGTCAACTTAACCTATTCTGATATAGATTTTTGTTAAGAAAGATAGCATTGAATCTTAACAATTTTTATATCGCATGCTTAACTTCATTTCCATGCTTCACAGACCATTGCTACTGTGTGCATGTTCCTTGCTGGGAAGGTTGAAGAGACACCTCGTCCATTGAAGGATGTGATTCTTGTTTCCTATGAGATAATACACAAAAAAGATCCTGCTGCAACCCAGAGGATCAAACAGAAGGTGTTCTTTAAATTTATGGTGCTTTCATCAGTTTTTTTGTGTGCCTCTTTCTGATGCTCAAGTTGCCAATTGTCATCCATGTTGTGTCTGTTGCTCCCTGGCTTGTGCAATTGTTTTCTGATTTGCTCTCACTTGCTATTCCATTTACTCTTCTGTTTATTTGGTTTTCTTTTCCTCCATTTTGTTATCCCTCGGGCGTATAAGACTGACCCCTGTAGTTATATTTCTTTTTATAAAACCCAACTAGCTGAACTTCCCATTCACAACAAAATTTGTCCAATCTGTTCTTGTGATATATTGCCAATGTGTGTAAATTAACTGGCAGAGATATAACTTTCCAGCATTTTGGTCTCCTGTTTCCTTTATTCAGAATTTACTTCCTGTTCCTATTGAACTCAAAACTCTTACTCAGATTCTTCTTTTTTTCCTCCAACAGCTGTGTCCTTAGCAAAACATCTCCCAATTTCTGTTGCACAATTGTAGCTATAAGGCTGGTTCATTCAGATTCTTCTTGTTTTCCTCTAACAGCTGTGCCCTTAGCAAAACATCTCCCAAGTTCTGTTGCACAATTGTAGTTATAAGAGTGGCTCATTAACTTTGGTATATGTTGCAGGAAGTGTACGAGCAACAAAAGGAGCTAATTTTACTTGGGGAGAGGGTTGTCCTAGCAACTTTGGGTTTTGACTTCAATGTTCATCACCCATATAAACCTCTTGTTGAGGCTATAAAGAAATTCAAGGTTGCACAGAATGCCCTTGCCCAAGTTGCATGGAATTTCGTTAATGATGGGTACGTTTAACTGGTGTTTCTTCAAGTGTTTAAAATGCTCTCTTCCTAGTGTTCACTTTTGACACACTGCAAAGCGGCATGCAGGCTGAGGACGTCGCTCTGCCTGCAATTTAAGCCCCATCACATTGCAGCAGGTGCCATTTTCCTTGCTGCCAAGTTCCTCAAAGTGAAGCTACCGTCGGATGGTGAGAAGGTCTGGTGGCAAGAGTTCGATGTCACCCCACGCCAATTAGAAGGTTTGTGTCCGCTCCATAACTCTAACAAAGATCAGGCCAATAAAATTGATTAGTTATTAAATGTCCCCATGGAGCTGGTGTTGCTATTCTTAAAATCGACCCACTGTATGATTTGGTAGACAGTCTGTTCATTGTCATGCTTTGTGAAATGCAATGGATGCTGCTGTGGTTCTGTCTTTCTTTTTGCGTTTTTTTTCATTTGCCTTGGTCGGATATTCTACTTAGTCATTGGTTATCTTGCAGAAGTTAGTAACCAAATGCTGGAACTTTATGAGCAAAACAGAGTACCCCCATCTCAAGGAAGTGAAGTAGAAGGAAGTGCTGGTGGTGGCACATCTCATCGAGCCCCAGCAAAACATCCTTCTGGGGGTGAGGAAAAACAAGTTTCATCACGGTATGGAGCCGACCACTCTTCTGCGGATAATCATGGGGTGCCATCAAGAACTTCACAAAATCAAAGGAATGATGATGGGAGTGGAGAGATGGGCAGTGTTATTACTGATCACAAGATGGATACAGAAACCAAGGAGAATCAACATCATGAACAATTGCCCCAAAAGGAGAACACAAAGGAGGTTTATGATAAATCAAGGTCCGGATTGGAGCGAACTGGGGGAGAAGATCAGGAAAGAACCAGTGGAAGAAATGAAAATGCTGAAGCAGGTGAGTGGAGAGATGATGGACCATCACGTAAGGCTAACAGTGTGGTTGGCCGAAACTTGGACACTAGAGAAGGGCCAGTTGGCCAGTCTCCCAAAGAAGCTATTAAAATCGACAAGGATAAGGTGAAGGCCGCACTTGAGAAAAGAAGGAAGTCTCGTGGGGAAACAATGAAGAAAAAGGATGTCATGGACGAAGATGATTTGATTGAGAGAGAGCTGGAGGATGGGGTCGAATTAGCCGTGGAAGATGAGAAAATCAAGAGAGAGCATCGACAGAGCTGGTGTAGGAGTGAGAATCAAGACCATGTTAAGGACCAGCGGGAAATGGGAGAAGGGAACAATTTCAGTACAAAGGGACAATCGTTGAAGAAATTTGAAACAGAGGGTGCTGAAGAAGGCGAAATGCTGGATGATGCTTCTCTGATGATGAACAGCCGAAAGAGAAAGGCAGGAAGCCCACCCGACAGACAGATTGAAGGGAAGAAGCGCCACGAGTACATGTCGGGTTACAATCAAGACTCCATAGAAGATGGGCAAAAGACAGGTCGGGGTAGTTATGCAGATAAATAATATAGAAGGCATGCACACGAGAATCATTAGTGAGGCGGTAAAAGACGTACTTTTTCTGAAACGACCGTGCATGATCCGTAAGATAATTTCATTAGATACTGATTTCTGACCATCAATATTTATATTTTTGAATTTTGCAACCATATATGGTCAGAATGGTCCTTCGGAAACTGAGACATTGGCAGAAATGTACTTGGAATTAGTTTGATTTTGGTTGCCTACAATGGCACATAATATTTTGGCTGTAACAGAATGTTGGGAACGACAATATTTCAGTCGACATAATGGCAGGGGGCTTAATGAGAAAGTAAAGAGGCAGCTAATTATTTAGTTCTTGGCGTTGTTGATGTTCTGGTGTGAGTTCATTCTCGAATTTTTAAAGTATTCGTGTTTGACATCTATATAACAATTCTATCTGGTATTATATTGATAGCCATTCAGGTATATGATATAAAGTTTTCATCTGCTCATTACATAAATCTAAAATAAAGTTAAATATATATATTTATATATATACACGTAGTGTATTGTTAATGCAAGACCCTTTTCAAACCTTGACGCCGCCACTCTAACCGCTGCTGCGCCACCTCCCATTTTCTCTATTCTAATTGTTGTATAGAAAGGATTTAGGAATTATAGCTGGGGGGAAATTAAGCATAGGGTGACAAAAATGTAGCCTATATGATAAGTAAGCTAGCATGACCACATGGGCTCACCCAAGCTAGCCTGGTCCACTATCATATCCATGTCGAAAATTTGCTTGGCTTGTGAGCCGACGTGCTTGGACGAAGGTGACCCGCTATTAGTTGGGCTTGTAGAGCCGAAGCCATTATGTGAAACGGATGCGTTCTGCTGCCTCACTTGAAGGTGCACCACCTCTGCCTGTGCAAAGGCCAATTGGGTTTGAAGGGTGTCTATTTGCTGCTGAAGGGAAGATATAGCTCCGACGCAGCCGTATACGGGGTCGCGTATCCTAGCGCTGGCCTCGTAGACCATGCTGCTGACGGCGTCGCCCCGCTGGTGCACCGGCAGTTCCTGTAAGCAGAAGAAAATGATCCCACTTAAACTCACCCCAATAAGTAAAATAAGTAAATACAAGGAGTTGGAAGAAAGTAAGTAATAAACCTGAAGCATCTTGTTGACATTGCTAGCACCGAAAACCTTGTGGACATTAGCAAACTTGTGGGGCTCATCGGCAGGGAAATAAGGAGCAAAAACACAGTCATGTGCACACCTTCTTCTTAGAAGCTTGCATGCTGCACATGGAGCTGCTGCTCCCTGCTTCCTCCCTCCACTCTCCTTCATCTCTGCCCACTACTCTTCTCTCTCTCTTTCTCCTACAAGTTATGATACTTAAGAGAACTTATACCCTACTACAGTTCCTGTAGTTTTAAATGTTTTCCGAGCTGGGAGATGAAATATACTTAAGAATTGCAGAAGGCTGAAGGACCAAAGAACATGAAAGAACCGACAACTGAAGAAGAAGACGAGGAAAAAAGAGAAAGAGACTGAGAGTGAATGTGGGGGGTTTCAGGTGTTGTTAAATAACCATAAAGGATGTGAGGTATGGGCCCTTTCAAGAAACCCCTTTAGATTTTGGCTTACACAAAAGTCATCACCATTGATATGACGCATTTTAGCTCCATATTTCCAATCATTATTTTACATTTTTTTCTAAAAAAAATAAAAGTTTATGATTATTTTATTTTACAATCATATGTGAAGTTCTTAGTTGTTCCATTCAATAATATAATCTTTAAATTTTAAATTTAATTTTGCAATTTAAAGTATAAAAATACATGATAGATATATTCAACATATCGCTCCAACTTTCATTAGTTCGAAAATGACATTGGCCAATGGAAATAAGTAGTGTATGTGCATGCTTAGCTACCGGAGGATAACATGGTAATTTGAATCACATTTTCAACATTAATCATCATCATATATAATAGAATTTGACCAACAAAATATAAAAAAAGTTTCAACCTTTTGAAATTTAGCTGCATAGAGAGCATATTAATTTATTTTTCATGCTTGAATTTTCTAATTAATTTAATAAACCATATTTACATGTCTCATGCTTCACTAGGCTTTGCCTATCTCGTACTTACAGGATTATTATTTTTATGTACTGCCAATGAAAAATATATCTTATAAATAAAGTTTTAGTAGTGATGTACGCATGTAGCTGCATCCTTTGAATTCTGTTTTTTATTAAGTATTTTTTTATGTTCAATTTAAAATTTTATGAGTTCATTCATGAATAAAAATTATATTGCTAATAAATGTGTATTTACCAAAAAATGTATTTTTAGATCCATCACTGAATCGTATTAATGGTATTTATCTCGTTTAAGGTTTAGATTTAAATTTTAAAAATTGAAATTCAAGATCATCGAAGTACATCAGATGTAATTTAAATAAATATATTTATTGAATCTAAAATTTGTATAAAAGAAAAGGAAATAAGTAGAATGATTATGATGCATTAATGGTAGAAGAGCATCCATTGCCGAAAATGTTCAATTTTGGGTGCATGCCAAAATGATTCAATCCTGCTTTCATTTGTAAAAGAGAAGGTAGTGAAGTCGAATTATCAATAATAATAATGATGGAAGAAATAACATGGAAACAAATTAAAAATAAATTTAAGAAAAAGCCAATGAGGTGGGGCCAATGACAAGGCAAAATTCATAATGAGGTGCTCAATACGCCCTAATGGGTCCAAATAATCAATTATTAGGTTTGGGTCAACTACCCTTGGGTCAATCAATGTCCTTTAAACCTCACTACCCTACACCAAACAAACCTCTTTAAATAAACAATATTCTTAGGGTATGTTTCATATTTCAACAAGCTATCATTGGTCCAGCCATTGACTTAAGGTTTGTTATTTTTAATTTTCAAATCAAACACCTACTTTTAAATTTGTTTTTTTATTAGTCGATAGATACGTTAGTGATAGGTTTTTATTTAATTTTTACTATAACAATATAATATATACATATATTATAGATTTGTTTTGGTACATAAAAATTTAGGGAAGAAGCGACTCCCTCGGTCCAAGGCCAAGACATACTAAGACTCAATTAAGATTTACATAAGAATTTACAGATTGTCCACCAAGGGTGACGGTGGATATATTATATGTAAGAAGTGGAATAGGTTTTACTCAGGAAAAAAATCAAATTTTGATTAGAATAAAATTTCTCATAATTTGAATTGAATCAAAATTTAAATAAATATAATTTCTCCTACCGTAACCGAAACCGAAACCGAACCGACTTATGCTACCGTGACTTTGTGCCTGTCCACGAGAGTAGGAAAGGTTGAAGACTGAAATTGGGTTGGAGAGTGAAATGGCAATGATAATGTGGAAAGACGGAGATGCAACAACCGCACTCTTTGCTGAGTTCTGAGGAACAAACACATAACCCATCATTTCATTTTTCCACCCTTTTCTATAGGAAATTATTCGAATGATCCGGTTTATCACGTTATTTATGATCTCAATTAATAAAATTTATCTATTTCAAAATAATTTTTAAATAATTATCTACTCATTATTTACATGTAGGAAAGATGTGAAGATTTATCTTAGAAAAAAATGAGATAAATGGGCTTTATTAGTTTGGACTATATAGATGACGTGGTGAGCCAAGCCCGTCTAATAATTTTTCCTTATCTAGGTACTATCATCTAGGGTTGTAAATGAGTAGAGTCAAGTTTGAGTATAACTGAGTTCGATTCGACTCAAAAACTTTGAAATTGAATACAACTTGACTCAAACGCTTACGAGTTTAAACTCATCAAATTTGATTTGAACTCGAAATTAAAAATTGAAGCTCAACTCGAAAGCTTGCGAGTTCAAAATTTTCAAGCTTGACTCGAAATCAAAAATTGAAGCTCGACTTGAGTTCGAAAAAACTTGAACTTCAAACATTCTCAGGCTTAGCTAGATTGAAGCTCAAACTCGAGTTTAAACTCAAATTTTGAATCAAGTTTGAATCTAAACCTTAAATACATGGTAATCTTATATTGTATTTCAAATAATATATAAATTTTAACATTATTAATATTAATTTTTAAAATTAAAATATTATTTTTTAGAGTTACTTACGAGTTTTTCAAGTCGAGTATCAAGTAGCTTGAATTAAATCATCTATGTTTCCTCAAACAAATGGAAATTAATATTTCTAATCAAAATGGACATCAACTTATTTAGTTTATATAATTACTTTTTAAGAGTTATATTAATATAATTAAAAATCATAGAAATGAAGGAAATAAAGTAATAACAAATTCGAAGCCAAGGGCACACGCTCCGAAGGCCTAAAGTAGTGGATATATCTATATATGATAAACTATTCCACTAATCACTCAATTTAAATCTATATATCAATTTGGTTACTAAATCTTAAAATGTTTCGATATTAGCGCTAAACTTTTGACGTTAATTTCTTTTATCATTGGGCTGATAAATTATTTATCACCAGAATGATGTGACAATTTGGTGTTCACGTGTGCTGATGTGGAAGTAAAAAAAACCATCTCACCATATTCTTTATGAATTAGAGTTTTTCCACTCATTTTTAGTCGTAGTTAGAAATCAACATTTTCTAATGTCTTTTACGATCATGCTAGACACCAATAAACTCATTTCATCGTCCTCTATCATTTCATCAGTTTAAATTTTTCTCAAAATCTATTTAAACTCGTGGAACTGTTATACAAAAATCCATCAATTTGAGTTTTCTTTGAACTTGGTGTTTTTGATATGTTTGTTCAAAATTTGAACAAAAAACAATGTTATCACAGAGTTAACGATTTAATAGTCCAATGACAACAACAACGAAAAAAAACGTTGACGTTTAAAGCCGAAATTGAAATATTTTAAAGTTCAATGACCAAATTGATACAAAAACAAAATTTAGTGACTAATGAGATATTTTACGCATTTGTATATTGTCAACTAGAAGTATAGAACACTGTATTGGTCCTCCAAATATCCTGCATGAATGCATCACGTGGATGCATACAAATTATCGTTTATGTGAAATCTCTAACCAATTCGTGTAAAAATAGGGTTTTCTTTTTAAGGTACAGACAACATGTGTTCTACGAGACTATAATGTTTTGTTCAGCACAAAATGGAAGTCTAAGTTGAAAAAAAAGTCTTACATTAAAACAAACATTGACGATGATTATGATCAAATTTAGGAATAATTATAGGTGAGGTTGAATTTTTATCTCTCCCAAATTTGATTGAGTATAACGGATTTTTATCTGTCATTCAAGTATATTCGAAATTAGAGAAGTTATATCCGATTCGAAATTCAATCCGATGAGTATATTAAAATAGAAGCATGTTTGAAATATATATACATTGATGAATATTACAATAATTATCTTAAATATATAAAGATAAAATATACTATTATTCGTGAATCGGTTAGATAATTTATGTAAAAAAACACCTCAAGAAATAAGAGGAAAGATCGAACCAAAGAATTAGCGGATATAAGTTTATATTAATTGATTGATATTATTATCAGGGTAAATTACGAATTTTACCACTAAACTTTACTTTCTCTCCTATTTTGTTAATTGAATTTTAAAAGTTTTAGTTTCCTTACTAAACTTAATATATTAAGTTTTTTTGTCACTGAACTTTACTCTCTCTTCTATTTTGATCACTTCGCCATTAAATAGTTAACGGCGTTAAAAACGATGTCGTTTTAAAAAAAACAAAATTTTCAACAAAAATACGTCGTTTTGTATCAATATAACTGCCCGTTTTAACGTCGTTAACTATTTAACGGTCAAGTGTCCAAAAAGACCCAATGTATTAAGTTCAATAAGGAAATTGAAAAGATTTAAAGGACAGTAAATGAAAATGGTGAGAGAGTAAAGTCCAGTTACCAAATTTGTTATTTACCCTTATTATTATTATAAATATTTTAATGTATAACAAAATCTAAATTTATTATTTTATATTTTTATAAAAAGTTCAAATTCATTTGAATTAGATGCATATTTTTATTTCAAATTTCATAGGATTCCCTTTCTCGTGTAGCAATCGCCTATTGACCAAATCAAAACTTGATAAACAATAAGCTAGCAAGTCAATTTCTGGTTATTTTTGAAGAATTTGGGAGTATGTAATTGAGAAATTGGGGGACAAATGTTTGGTCAAGCAATCGGTTACCAAGTTTTCACACCTAAATTTTATACTAATATTATCCTGAAAATTATCTTTAGAATGGTATATTTTTAAAGATTTAAGTTTGAACTCATTAAGTGGTCTCAAAAATAAATAAAAAAATATTATTTTTTTGAGATCCCACGTTCGAACAATTACATTTATAGGGCGTGCATTATCAGTATTCACAGTCGCATATTCATATATTTTCATAAATTCTCTCATTTTTAAAAAAAATACATGTCAAATACCGTAGACTTGAATAATCAGAGAGTGTTTGTGATGTGCATGATA